GTCATGCCCAACCATTCCTTAATTTTTCCCCAGACCCTACAAGTGTAATGACAACGAAAAAATAGGTGTGGCATTATTTCCAATCCACCCTTGCACAGGTCACAACGATTAACAATATGTAGGTAACCGAGGTTATCCTGTGTAGGTAACCGGTTCCTCATAGCGAACCATACATTGAATGAAAACTTCGGAGGGATGTAAGACTTCCAAATGAAGCTCATCCAGACTCTCGACGTCCCCTTAATTCTTAACAATTCATAAATCTTTCCGGAAAGGAGTTTACCATTTACGGATCTACTATTTAGGCCCATAATTGTATCATTCAAATTGTTAAAGCATCCCAAAATTTGGTCCCGAATTTGACTCAGTCTCTTCATGAACATTGAGTCACGAATTGACCTTACTAAATAATATCAAGTCCTAACCGTAGTAATACATAGACACGAGTAAAATGGGGCCTTAATATTTTGGGGGCCTGAGGCAAAGGTCTCAGCAGCCTCAAAGGCTCCACGGGTCTGGCTTCTACTTAAAAAAAGAAGCAGAAGCAGAATCAGTTCCAAACACCCCTAAGTATATCTCCAGTTACTTTGTCCATATTTGTACTATTTTGTGACACTTTGAATTTAATATTTTAATGTAGTACGATTAGATTTCCCGTATTAAGCAGATGGTTGAAGAACTTTAAGCTAATTTGTAGTATAAGATTAACTTAATCTATTCGATTATTCTGCCCATTAACTATTACTCCCTTTGTCCTCATTATATTGTCCCGTTTCACCTTTTCGGGATGTCCCACTAAAATTTTCTCATGCCATATTTGATAAAGTTTGTGTGGCTCAAAATCATTCTTTCTTTATTCTTATTTTATCAATTAATATCAATCACACAAACTCACTTTTCTTAAAAATCGTGACATCCTCTTCCGTCCCAATATAAAAGGGACGGAGGTAGTATTTGGCAAATGAGGGAACCCCTGACCGGATCATTCGTCCGGAGATAGACCAGGTTGACCCACCGGGTCTAGGCTAACCCCTGACCGGATCATTCGTCCGGATCACCTCCCAAACCGATTCTTGTAACATAGCTTTTCACATGAATCATGAATACATAAACATGAAAAAACTGAAAAAGGTGAAAAGGGGAATAAAATCGTCAAGAAGATAAAAGTAAAGTGATGAAACTTTTTTGGAAAAAGAAAAAATGATACATGAATTTTTTGGGAATATTTATAAAAGGATTGATTAATGATTTAATGCTTTGCAAAGAAAAATAAATAACTTGAAAAAAACAGACCAACCAAACAGGGACCATCGATTGCAAAACAATACAGTTATTTCGACAATAATTAAATAAGATAATTCAAATATATTTTCAAGTATATGATATAAGGGGTTTGTCCTCAAATAATACTAATTAAAAGCATTTGGACAAAAAAAGAGACTTTTCTTTTAAGTTCCAAATATAAGACTAAATAATACTTAAGGGACTAATACACCCTTACTAAGCCCCAAACTCACTGGCCTGCTACAGTAACTCGTCACAGTGACCAAATTGCAGTGACCAATGTTACAGTTACCAATGACCAACGTCCGCCTGTCCAGTGACCAACGTCCGCCCGTCCAGTGACCAATGCCCGCCCGTCCAGTGACCAAGTCCACTCGACCAGTGATAGTGACCTATTGAATAGTGACAGTTACCCGTCACCACCGCCTCTACCTGTAATTGACAGTGACCAAATTACAAATGGCCACCGCAGACCGATAATGACCAACGCTGGCCCGACCATGATCACCGCCGCCCGACTGTGACCACTCGCCTGTCCTCCACCATCGTAGACAGTGCAAGCCAACCCCCAACCCCACCACCCACCATTCCAGCCCTAGCCCCCAGCTTCCTCCCTGGCCCAAGCTCCCTTCCCAGCCTCCCCTGCACCTGCCATAAGCCTCCACCACGGTCCCAGCAATCTCACCACCGCCCCCAGAATGCCTACAACCCTAACCACCGCACCACAACCACTGTAAATCGTCTCTGCTACCACTAATCCACCCTAGCTGCAACCAGATTTGCAGGGCAGTAGACACCACCACAATTGCTGCAAAATTATCCTTCGTTGTCGCTGGATCTGTCGGAACTTGTCATCTATCATCATTTGCGTCTCTCTGTTGGGAGAAGGAGAAAAGACCTGCCATCTCTGATTCGTATCCGATCGGCTCATAGAGAAGGAGAAGAAGAAGAATGGGCGGCATCGGAATGCGAGGGGAGAGAGCATATATGAGCGATGAAGATTGCGGCTGAACCAGTGACAGTACAAGGGGTGTAGGCGGCGATTCCACTTGTGACGGCGCGAGGGGCGGCGGTGCGATGAAGTGCGGCGCTGGATCCGAAATTGAAGAAGACAGGGTTCGTCAATGAAGTGCGGCGCTGGATCCGAAATTGAAGAAGACAAGGTTCAGGAGAGCTTGTGTTTTGTTATTAAAGGGTGTTTTAGTCCATTCAAGTATTTTTTAGTCCGTTTTTTGTCCAAATCGATAGTTGGTCTTACTTTTGTCTTTCCATAACCCTGTAATATTATTTGTGTCATTATTTTATGATATAATGGAGTTAGTGGTAATCGTTATAATCTTGTAATTTTGTTAATGATTGAATTGTCTTCTAAGAACATCTCCATTCATGATCTCTAATAATCAATTTTTTCTATGATTCTTACCTTTTAAATATTGTTATATAATTAATGTTGAAATAATCTCAATATTCGTTTATGTCTCCCAACCATTATCTTCAAGTAATCAGATTTTTTCGTTCCTGCATTAACTTCTATTACATATACTTTTAAATAATCTTAAAATAATCTGGATTCATATTTTGATCCCGGATTATTATAGCAAATAATCTCATTAAATAATTTACTCCCTCCGTCCCCTTTTAAATGGGACGGGAGATGGTGGTACGGGTTTTAAGAAAAAGTGAGTTTGTGTGATTGATATTAATTGATAAAGTAAGAATAAAATAAGAATGATTTTGAGTCACACAAAGTTTACCAAATAAGGTATGAGGCAATTAAATAGGGACATCCCAATATGATAAAACGGGACATTTAAAAGGGGACGGAGGTAGGCCTGGACTCGGGCCGGGCGGCCCGACCCGGAACCGGCCCGGCCACTGTAGCAACTGGCCCGGCCCGGTGGCCCGGTCCACCGGCGGTTCGGGTCGAACCGGCCCGGTGGTTCCCGGTTCCGGGCCCGGGCCTTCCAAATGGTGAACCGGCCCGGCCGGTTCGGGCCCGATCCGGGCCGGATTTTAATTTTTTTTTTTTTTTTTGAAATTTTTTTAAAGTTTTGGGTTGGAATAGGTATTTTGGGCCATTTGAGGTGGTTTGGGGTGGTTTGGGGTTGAGGGGGAGGGGTAGGGGATTAAATAGGAGAACAAAAAAAAAATAAGTGGGCCGGTTCGGCCCGGCCCGGTTTGGCCCGGAACCGGGACCGGAACCGGCCACCGGCGGTTCGGGCCCGGGCCTCCCATGTCCTGGCCAAAGGCCCGGCCGGGCCCAGGCCCGAACCGGGCCCGAACCGGCCCGAGTCCAGGCCTAGACGGAGGGAGTATGTCTCTCAATGATGCTCCTTTAAAAAATCTGCCATGTCACTTACTTAATCTCTTAATAATCCTACCAATGAGGATGCCCTAAGAATACTAATTGTTTCTAAGAATTCTAATTGTTTCCTAAAATAGAAATGACAACCTTTATGACTATATGGACGTTCAAAAAAGAAAATCAAAATCTTTAAATGAGACAGAAGAAGTAGCATTTTCACATTAAGGCGGAAATATTCTAATAAAACAGTGAAAAAAGGTAGATTTATTCATTTCCATTTTCTCAATATTCAAGTGTCGTTGAGATCCAACTTCAAGGGGAACAGCGATACAACCCAAAACCAGAAATCAACATAAAAACACCAATAGAAATACGAAGTTAAAGCAATAGGCTCCAAAGATGCATAACTTGTGCGAATTAATTAATCTTGTTCTATAAATTTATACTCAAACAAGCCAGGTCATTTAATTAGTGAAGGTGTAGGATTTTATGCTGCTACATAATTTAGAGGATAACTCCCAAATTGAAGAAAACCAAAAAGAATAACATAGGCGAGGGACCCCTCTCATCACAGGAATCTCAGAAACAATGAGACAAGAACTTGATATTTAGAGGAAACGTAGAAATGGTCAAAATGGAGTGGTTACATCCTCTTCCCTGTAATCGAAATCACCATCTTGTAGCCAAAGCCTGGAAGAAACTACACCATGAATCAGTGCGGACCTGGTGACATGGGAGACATCATGGCAGATTCAGGAGCGGTAACTACTTCCACAACTGGTGCTGATTTCTGCATGATAGATTCAGGAGCCGGCTCCACACCAGCAGGCATCTCGGGTTCCATTTGATCAAATTTGCTTACCCGAGTCCTCCTGCGATACCTATCACGGCTCGGACTACGGCTAAGGCTACGGCTTCGGCTCCGGCTACGGCTCCGTCTTGGGCTATAACTGCGACTGTAACTCCTGCTCCTGCTGCGACTCCTGCTTCGACTATAACTCCTGCTACTTCGACTTCTACTCCTGCTCCTGCTGCTGTAAGCTCTACTGCTTCTACTCATACCGCTAGATATGTTGTCCCTTCGGTTGTCAACAAAGCGCCCACCACTTCCGCGGCCTCTGCTACCGCGTCCTCCCCTTGAATCAAAACTGTTGAACCGGTCACGCGGTCCCCCACGGTCATTCCTTTCCCAACCTGCATTATTAGCCCCAGGAGAAACTCGCCCACCACGGCCGCCGAAATGACCATCCCTCATCCCCCCACGACCCCCACCAAAACCACCATCTCTCCCACCACGGCCCATAAAACCACCGTCCCTCCCACCGAATCCCCCGTACCCGCCACCACCAAAACCACCATCCCTTCCTCCGCCACGGCCGCCAAAACCACCATCCCTTCCCATCCCTCTTCCCCCGAAACCACCATCTCTCATTCCTCCTCGACCACCAGAATCCCAGCGCGACCGGACACCACCATTATCCATACCTGGATCAGAACGGTTCATCTCAGCTCGATCCTTGACAAAGCTAGGCGGGCCACGTCGGGCAATCTCTCTGATTTGTGGAGGCACCTGCTGGTTGGCACCCTCCAGGACTTTCACGAGATCAGCAGCATATTTCCAGTCTTGATCTGAAAAAAAGGTATATGCAACGCCTGTTGCCCCTGCCCTTCCGGTTCTCCCAATTCGGTGAACATAATCCTCGACCCCGGTTGGAAAATCATAGTTGATTACTACCCTGCAAAAACACTCAACAAATATTATTAGTAAAAAGATGAGCTAGAGCCTGCAAAGAAGAAAAGATTATTATCGACAAGTTGCACATTTACACGCAGATGTAAATAACAAATAGCAAAATTACCACTAATAATTTACACCGGTATCATAGTTAACAAACAAAATCCTCACCTTACATCACGTACATCAAGACCCCTAGCAGCAACATCAGTTGCTACTAGAATTGGGGTCTTCCCAGATTTAAATTGATTGAGGGCCCAATCCCTCTCAGTCTGAGACTTATCACCATGAATGGCAATAGCACCAAAACTACGGCCAATGCTTCGTGCAAGCTGGTCACACAATCTTTTTGTGGAGCAGAATATTATAATTTTAGAGCCTCGTTCTTGGGATAGAAGAATCTGCTCAACCCGTCTCTGCTTCTCTGCTTGCGGAACTATCTCAACATACTGTACAGAAGGGTATTAGTGATTTTTTATGAAGAAAATCATTTACCGTGGCTTTGATAATATCATAGCACTAAAGAGAGGAACGCGCAGAAGGGTATGAATTTATTTTAATAAACATATAATGCAGTTTTATTACCAGAATCTAGGTTCTTCATTAACAGTTTTACTAACATATTTGTCATTGTATGTATATATTACCCCGTATGTGTGTATAAAGCTGGACTTGCATATGGTAAAGCTGGAAACAAACTAACTTTAGCATAAACCCAAGGCAGTCAAACTCGAGATCACATGTAGGATTGTGTAGAGAAAATAAAACCGTAATATACAAGATGGTAAAACAGATCGTAAAATCGTAGACGTATACCTATATATAGCATACATATATAATATATTTAATCATACATTAATATATATAATTCATTAAGCAAGGTAATCTGAAGTAACATGTTTAAAGTTGAAACATAGTATAAAAGCCTCAAGTATGAAACTATGAATGGTATAAACAGAGTACAAGCCTCCTAGAGAACTTCCCACTTGAGACTTTTTTCTCACATTACCAACATCAAACTCTCCCACTTCAGCTTGTTTATGGTTTTTTGGATTTGCAATATTTTATTCCAAGATGTTTAATACTTGAGCGACATTTTAAAAAGCAGGATAGCCATTGAGAAGTGCTTCCATCATGACTACTACGACTTTTTTGCTTTTACCCAAGCAAGCTTACTATTTTAACAATCTATTGGACAATCTGGGTCACAACAGTTACATAGGAACATAAAATCAGGCAATTCTAGTACCCTGTGACCTGGCCCCCGGATCGCAATTTTGACTAAGATGCACAAAACCAGTCTACAATGCTCCATGAGTAGTTCAACAGAAACTTAAATTGAGCAAAAAACTAAAAGAAAGCTGAGCTACCAACATCATAAAAAGACGGGAGAGAAATGATGAACTAGAGTGAAAGAAATAAGGTTAAAAGAAAAACAGAGAAACGCTACATAATTTGACTAAGACCCATACCCTAAGCATAACCATCAGTACGAGTATTAGCCATTTTCCAAAGAAAACAAAAAAAAATAGGTATGTCAACAAGATGTACTTGCCTAAGTGGAAATTTGGAATAGTCAAATAATTTTTCCTAAATGGAATACCCATTGTCATGGGAAATTTTGTCATCCTAAAAAACATGCTTCATGTGGCTAGTGTTGGTAACACTATCCTATTTTAATTTAATTAATTCCCAGGATCAAAGTAACCTGATTTCTTCCACCATTTGCAATGGAGCTAAAGATTCATTATTTTTTGGCTTGAGAATATGATGGAATAAAGCAAAATGGCTCACTAAACTGTCTGCGCTTCTTTGTTATGAAGCAGCAGTCAGTCCATGCAATTTTGGACACGATTTTCACTATGGGTCATCCGGAAACAGTCTCTCTGTGCTTTAGTAAAGGGGTAAGACCGCGTACATCCGACCCCCCCCTTACCCCACCGTAGGTGGGAGCCTTTGCGGCACTAGGGTAAATGAAAATGATGATCGAAGTAACTTGATTCACCTGGGTGATGGACTTGTTGGCTTCAAGCTCATTGACACTGCCAATGTTCACTTGGACAGGTGCTCGAAGAAGATCATTAGCTATCGCCCGGACTTCCTTAGGCCAGGTTGCTGTGTACATAAGAGTTTGTCTACTAGGAGGTATTAAATTCACAATCTTTCGAATCTGAGGCTCAAACCCCATGTCAAGCATTCGATCAGCCTCATCAAGAATCAGAAGGGAAACCTGCCGAAAATCAATCCTCTTCATCTCAAGTATATCATTGAGCCTGCCAGGTGTTGCCACAACGATGTCTGCTCCTCGTTCTAGTTCTTTTAGCTGGGGACCCTTTTGAGCACCACCATACAAGCACTGAAACAGCAACGATGCATCTATAGTTCAACACCCAATAACAATAGTACACACTGGCTAATCAATTAATACACCTAGCTACTTACTGTGCAAGAAACCCTTGATGACCGTCCAAATTTTAGTGCTTCATCTTGGATTTGTGTAGCTAGCTCACGTGTTGGAGCTAAGACCAATACAGTTGGTCCATTCTGAGGATTGTTACGCCTTCGCGAAAGCTGGATAAATGCAGGAATAAGATATCCCAGTGTTTTGCCAGATCCTGTTTTGGCAACTGCCACAATATCTCGGTTTTGTAGTGAAATGGGCCATGTTTGTGCTTGAATTGGTGTAGGAGATGCGAATCCAGCAATATGAATCTGCAGGAAAATTACACATAATTAGTATTGATAAAGACCTGATGGGGAGAGCATTCAAGGAAGAATATGTGTAATATTAGAAATACAAGATTGAGTTAAATTAATGGACCAAATATTGAAAACAAACAAATTAAGTAATTAAATAACTAATATTGTAAAATGGACAAGGATCCTAAATTAAACTGGAAGGAATACAGTTGCTTACAGAAGCAACTCATCAAGGCAACAAAATAGAGCAATTAAAACAGAAGATGCAGGGCCAATAAGCTAGAAATCCCAGTCACATATTTTGTTTTTTTGGATGAAGGGCCAACTACCCTTCAAGAAGCTACGCAAGAGGCTCCAACTATCCAATTTGCAGCCTCAAAAACTCAATATACTGGTTGTGGAAGTGTATGAGCATTTCAAGCAATACAGCGTACGACATGTGCTCCTCCTCCGGAGCAGATATCGCACCTGCGACAAGTGACAACTGTTAAGCTTGATGCAATCTAACAAAGATAAATATTACACAGATCCAAAAAGAACCACTCGGGTGCGGTAAGTCTCTGTAGATCTTATGTTGAGAATAGTACACTTACATCTCTAAGTATTTCTGGAGGAAAGCCAGTAGCTTCAAATGTGATGAAAGGATCCGGAACATTTTCTCCCTAGACAGTGGAATTGTAGCATATCAATATCAATTCTAAAAATTAACTGAATTCAAAGAAAGATCAAATCCAACTGCAACATATAAAGGACTGTGACTTTAAACACACTAATCACTACCTGTTACAGATTTTTGAAATCGCACAACAGAGCAAGATCAAAACATGTAGAAAATCATGAATTTCACTGAGACCGCAAAGGAAATCACAACAAATTCCACTCATTGTTTGTAATTGTGCAATGCAATCGCGCCCCATGGAGGGCCACAGCTAATTCTTAAAATATGGCGAAAAAGGAATTGCATATGGCGCTGGGAATGTGGCATACACGATATTGCAATGGGCCGTGCGCAATAAGGCGCTGAGAGGTGTATGCAATAGAGGAGGTCAGGGTGTAAGGGTATTAATTGCGCCCAATCGGCCCACTTTTTTATTCTTAGAATTAATATATTCTGCATTCATGATCCCTATTTTCAAACCACTAAATAGTGACAGATTTTGATTTTATTATGATGAAGAGTTCTGAAATGTATACTATTCTGTGGTACTTTGAACTTATTATGTTGCTACGATTATGGCCACATTATAATTTATTTTAATATGACATGTCATGACTTTCGATAAATATGTTATTTTACTTTTTATTGTGTTTATATATACACACACACTATGTGTGTATTACACCTCAGGCATGGGCTCATTGCGCAATGAGACTTACGCAATGTGCAATTTTAAAAAACGCCAGGAGTACGCAATACACAATTTCAAACCTAGTGCAATACCCATCATCCATCCCAGCTCCATCAATGATAAACAGCATTAACAAAAATAGAGAGATTATACAAACCATTGTCGTGATTTCATGTTTTTTACGGTAATCCTCAGCATCAGAAGGTCCCATAGCTGCTGCAGGGGGACGCATTTGGGCATGAGTTGGAAACTGGGGACCACCACCACCGGTTGCTTGACCATACATATTATGCATTGCTGGACCTCCAGAACCATTATATGCACCATGAAAACCAGGTGCTGGATTCTGCGTTGCTAGATCAACGGTCCTCATTTCCTTATAAGCACAAGAATAATAATAAGCAACAAAGCAAACACCAATCTTATAGTTTTGTTCATAGAAACAAAGTAAGAAATGAGGGCATGTGATTGTTGATAAATAAACTTAATTACTCACAAGAAAATTAGACCACGTAGTTGACCAATAACTCACTCAAAAAAATAATAAACACACAAAAAAACAGCAACCAACCGAAGTTCGGTATATGTGGATATGTGATAATGGGGAGAATTCTCGAATTGGAGGCAAAACCTCCATTGGAGTTAAAACAGAAAACTTACATGCTGAGATCTTGTGTGTGGTATTGACGCGAGCATGGGATGTGAAGCCTGAGAAGGCATGGCATGGACGTCCTTAACAGTATTATTATCATAAAACGTATTTCCTACTCTTCCGTGCGAGTTTTCTTCATATCCTGTATTTGATCCAAGTGGAGGCAGTTGACCATGTGATGGACCCATCTGGCTTTGGAACCTGGAAGTATGTTGGTGGTGCAGTGAATCTGGCCCGCTGTGCATCCAATGAGTTTGAGATGCTGCCTGCTGCATACTAGCAGAAGGGCCACTAAACTGCATTGGTTGAGCAGGTTGTGCAGCCATTTGAGGGCCTAGAGAGGGGTTAGCTCCTGGAGCTGAGGTCTGGGCAGGTGCTGGCTGAAAGGCGTTCATTGGTGAGAAGCCAATTTGATTGCCTTGGGGGAAATCTACATCCTCTCTAGGACGGAATTCCATGTTATGCTCTTGTTGGTGAGGAAATTGTTTTCCTTGCATCATATGTTGCTTCTGTTGATCAGAAACGTTATGAGCTTGGGGATTCATGTTCTGGTGAGTATACAAACCATGTGGTGTTGGGTGGTGAGTAAATTGAAAATCCGGAGGTTTTCCTGTCTGCATTCCTTGGAATGGCTGCATTTGCTGTGGAATGTGCTGCAACATCGGTTGAGAAATAGGAGTCCCTGGTTGTTGTGTAGGCATTTGGTGAGTTGCCTGTTGGGTCCCATGGGGCCTATTGTGGTGCATCTGTTGTTGCATAGAAGAATTCACATGTGATCCCTGCTGCTGTCCAGTTGAACCTTGTTGCAAACTTTGGCCTACATGAAGGCTTTGATGCTGGCCTTGACCATCACTTGGTTGCGCAGCATTAGCGCCCGGTAGAGGAGCAAGTTTAGGAGGTTGACCAAGTGGTAGCGGGGGAGGCAAGGCTGATGGCTTCTCATACTGTGTAACGTTAGTTTCAGGATTCCAATAGTACAGCAATCCAGTGCTACCATCAATTAAACCCTTCCAAGGTAGGGGCAAAGTTGGATCATCCGGTGCATAACGTGGTCCAGTAGAAGACGTTGCAGCCTCGGCCGTGGCCATGCTGCTACCCAAAGAAGCTGACAAAACCATTATCAATTAGAGCATAAGCACAGTAGTTGCAATTAACATATGAAATTAATATTAATAATCGTCTAAGCCATATACAACATCAGCATCAAAAGAAGATAGCTGACTCAAAAACCAATAAGAATCGGGCGATGCTTACCTGTGAAGCACAGATGCGGCGAACCTAGTTGACCGGATACGAGGTCAAAGCCCTCGGACACGGCCGGGATACGACGGCGACGGCTCCGTTCGTTTGGAGTAGAGTTCTTCTTTCCGTCAGACCACACCAGACGCAGAACAGGAGCCGGGTTATGATTTGGGAGAAGTAGGCAATCGGGTCACGATTGTTTGAGCTGCCAGCAACGACAAATTTGACTTCAGCGGCTATTTTCTTCAGTGGACTGGAGATGAATGGGAAGTCCGATGAATGGCGGGGGCAGGAGGCAAGACAGCAGCTTTGAAGTGAGCGGTAGTCTGATGCTCGGATCTGCGTAAGATCGTGATGCGGCAATTGATTTGGAGACTTTCTAGGGTTGCTTGTGTTGTTTACCTGCAATTGATCGTCTAAACCCCTGTTATTTTACCCACTTTATATTTTAGCAGCCTAATTGATTCTTGAAATTGGATGGATGAAAACTTCATAAAGGTCAAATTCATTAGTACTGTAATAAAGTTTTGGAAAAATTGATAAGAATAATCTCACTTTCACTGGTTTTCTCATAATAATCTCACATTTACATAATCCCAGAATAATCTCACTTTTGCACCTCATCTTCTTTCATTCGACCTTGAACAGGTTTTTTTTACTCTTTCTTTGAAAATCATATAAATAATCTCACCTTTCACTTTTTTGTTATATTTTTATAAATGTGAGATTATTTATATAAGAATTTCAAAAAAATGAAAAAAAACTTGGTCATGGTCCAGTGAAAGAAGATGAAGTGCAAAGGTGAGATTATTTTGGGAGTGTGTAAAAGTGAGATTATAATGAGAAGATCAGTGAGTGGAATTATTCTTTTCAATTTTTCCTAAAGTTTTTATATAGTCAAATTCATTGTGCGCTGAGAAAAAGTCAGTTTTAGTAGTATAATAAAGTTATGAAAGGGGAATTTCAATAACTAAAATTAAATGAAAGCAAAATTGCAATAAAAGAAGCTTAAAGTTTAAATTCTAAAAATAGAACTAACTCTCCCTATTATACCTTTTCCAACCTTTATAAGATTGATCAATAGTTTTAATTGGCTTTTTTAAAATAACTTGTTACCACGGATTAAAATGACTTGATTTAGGGAGTGCTTGCAACTGCTTTTGCTTAAAAAAACACTTTTGGAGATGTAAGGAAAAAGTGATTAGTAGTAAAAGTTGATAGTGTTTGAGATAAAAGTGATTTTGAAAAGTAAAAGTTGATAGTGTTTGGTAAAATAAGTGTTTTTTGTCTAATAGAAAAGGGAAAAACACTTTTCACACGCAAGCCGAGAAAAAGTAAAAATTGGTAGTGTTTGTTAAATAAGTGCTTTTTAAAGCCAAAAGCTGAGAAGTGCTTTTTTTAAGCAGTTGCAAACACTCCCTTATTGTGTTTGTCAAATAAGCATATTTGTATGATACTTTTAAGTAATACATTGGAAATAATAGAATGATGTATTTGACATTCTCCTCTTTTTTATGATAAAACTTGTCAATAATTAAAATTATATATATGAAGAATAGTATATCTAAATCACTTTTTCAAGTATAGGAATCAGTTGTGATACAACTAAAAATCGTTAATATCTTACCGATGTCCTTTTTCTTAAACGGAGCCTCAATACTTCATTTTTTAGTCCAACCAAGCCAACCATACTAAGGGCTAGTATTAAAATTCCCCCAAAAGGTTGTCCTTGTCACACCACACTCCAAAATTTGGACGATTCCAGTCATTTATCTAGGTGAAACGAGGCTATCTCTATCGAGGGAGATACTGGAGAAATCCCAACTTACTCAATATATCTGACAAGTCACACTAATAAATAAGCGAGGTGTCCGTGTGTTTTACACAAGAATATAATATTTATATCTGTTCATATAACTTGATGAGTAATTTAGGGTAAAGAGAATCGAGGGCTATAGAGGTAGATTATTATATGTGATTGTCATTAGATTTCAATAATGTCGATCATGTTCACAATCCGGAATGATGTATCTATAGTGCAGTGATATTAGAAAACATTATGTTGCTTATATAGGCGAGATTGTCTCTTCATCAATCTTGAATAGTCCTTATATTTGAACTTGTTAACAGTCATACATGTCATCGATGAGATTAGTGATTATGTAAGCGCTAAACAATTTGAAGGCGATCTTCAGTTATATTAATATTCTTGAAGTTTTCACTAAAATCCAAGGTTGAGAGTACTAGGTGTTGGGTTGCGGGTATGTGGTGCTAATAAGTTTATCAGTCGACAACGCAATCGAAATGCGGCCTTTCGCCGGTACTATAAGGGGGGTATGCTATATCGGTAAGCGCAACGATACACAAGTGTCATCAAAACCAAGGTCATGTGTTTGTCCCATAACAACTATGTGTTGCGCAATTGAGGCTGACAGATGTTGTGGGGGTTGTGGGGGTTCGGGGGTCGCGGTACGCGGTGCTAGTAATTCTATCACGCAATTGAAATGTGGTGCTTCCTGTGCTATATAGGGGAAGCGTGTTACACTATTAGTTATGCTTTTTATGCATCACTAAGCGCATTGATCATCATTATCAGTCTAGATTGATAGTTTTTAATCATTCGGGCCCAATACTAACGCATTTCACCTTTCAGATCCTTGGTTGACATCTTATCTCTCTTTGACAAAATTTCAATGTAAACAATATCTCTCATATATACAAAAGATCATAGTTTTTTGCCCTACTATACATATACTTGCAGCATATTAGATGCATGTGGGACATCACAGTATAAATAAAGAAAAAATAAACAAATAGTCATTCTAAAAACGTAAATCAATACAAATAATGTTTAATATAAGTTTGAAGGCACAAACATGCATGCATGCAAAAATGGTATCGATATACATATTATATTTTATGCTTAATATTGAATAGCTTTTTGAACTTTTGACTACTCAATTAATATGCAACTCATACTCCAAATCTCTCGATCCTTGCGAGTATTATACATGAGGTTTTTCAAAAATATTACTTCGTATTAAGTAAAATTGTAAAACATATTTACAAATATATAACTAATAGTTATTATATTATAATTACACAATTGCTTAAGTGCAAAACTTGAACATAAGTGAATACAACTAAGATACTACTATACTCGCAACAATTAGACGGTCACATTTTTGTACACAATGTTTATTTTAGTCATATATATGTAATTATTTTGAGTATTATACATTTATACCTACATAGTTGCATTGCTCTTGTATTCACAATTGATGAACCGGTTGAAACACTCAAGAGTGATTAAAAAAACTTCGACCTCTCTCGGAAGAATTTGAAAATTTCACTAAAATCATATCATTATATTATAAAATCAATTTACCATTCTCTCTAGGTTGAGTTCTTAATACTTTATCTTTTAAATAATGAGCCATTCGATTTTACAACAAATTCCTCACATCACACTCCAACCATTGGATAAAACATACTTAGATGTTACTCAAATAAACCCCAATTACAAGTACTTGAACTCTCTCTGCTTCAGAATCCTTTCAATTCAAAACTCTCCTTCTATTCTTTAAATTGAACTTGCTCAAAATCTTACGTGCCTTGACTAGAGTAATTATATTAACATCAAGGAGCACACTGTTCAATTTCTTTCCTTTCTAACTCAAAGAGAAACTATTGGAATTCTTCGTTGTATAGGTCTCGATCTCGTTGTAGTTCGACAATTTCTTTTTGAATGATATTTGTTTTATATAGTCAATTTTCTTTCCTATGAATGTCCAATATCTTTGCTAGGGAAGACTTATGTACGAAAGTTTCTTCATTCAGGACCGAAAATAAATCATCTAAAGTCTTCTTCTTGGAAAGTAGTATGACAAGAACATGGAGAGGTTACCAATATATGACTAGTAATGAGAAAGTGATAAAACGTATGAGTTGCTATGGGACAAGAAAAGAAAAAACAGGACATATAACCTATTACTATGCATGACATGCACCATTATAATAAGAAATTTAACTGTCTAGTCATATAATGGGAAAAATCAAGCCTTTTTATCACACATGGTAAATCTCTCAAGTATTAAATGATTTTCATCTGTACAAAAAGATTTAATATCTATATATACTCCATCCGTCCCAATAAAAAGAGCACATTTGCGTTTTCAAACATTTTTAAGAGGAACACTGTTTCGCACTGTTTTGTTTACCAAAAAAGGGAAATATGCCTTTTCTATTGGGACCGAGGAAGTATATAAAAACAAAATAGTGGCAAAGAAGTTTAGGCGGGAACACTGTAGCACTTTGGGAGCATCTGGGAGCATTTTGGGCGGACGGTTGTTGGAAGCACACAAGTGTGAACACAATTTGGCGGCAACATATGCGGGTTGTGGTTCCCAAAGAATCAAGAAACTCATTAAATGGATTCAGCTCAATAAATAATACAACGGACCATTGTGCGGCAACATATTAATACAATTGGGTGGCAACACATTAATGCAAATATACAATTGGGCGGCAACACATGAAGATATTAAAGTCTTCACAATCTACAAGGTAGGAACACCTTCTATTGTTGATCCTTTAAAAAGGGGCTATTACAAAGGAAATTCATAGTCTTCAAGAGATGAACGGCTCAAACACTCCTTCATAGTCTTCAACAACCTGCAAAATGAACACTTATTTATGCAAATAGGTCATGAGGTAATCACCTTAGTCTTTACTAATATGTAATACTACGTATATAAGATCTGAGTGCTCGTTTCTCTGTGGTTTTTTGTTGTATTTGTTGGCTATTTTTATACCCATGGGAATTGGAAACTAAAAACTCAACAATATACTACTTATAAGTTTATAACCACTTCTTGAATGTAGATGAGTATTGAAATTGTTCTTACTGATGTTTTAAGTCCTTTGGTTTCCAGAAATACGGTTGTTCGGTGTAATTGAATCAATTTAGTGGCTTTGTATAACTAATTACACTTTGTGATTATGGGGAACCTAAAAGATAAATTTGGTAATGATATTTGCAATGAACACATAGATACACTATTTCCTCAATCCTATGAGTATACATAACACTTACACCTAAAATCACATACAAACCATTTAGTAAAGAAGGTGAGTGCTTATTAAGTGTACTTTTCTCTTCTGCAGGGTAAGGGCCTCAATGCTTAACCACATTGTGGAGTTTCCTTTCAATTAAAGTAGAAAAATTTGCAGAGATGCAACTATGCAACACATTGCAAGTATAACTGGCACAACTATTTTTACAACCACCTACACAATGAGAAGTAAACAAGTTGAGTGTAGCAAGTGTGGTTTTTGTATTCAGATTACTTTGTTAAATAAAAAAGGAATTATCTTTTTATATTTTTCTTTTTAGTTTTTCAATCAAGGTAGGGTATGTAGGGATA